CACTTTTCTTTTTTCTCCAACAAAACACACATCAAATTTCTCACACAACCTCAGCAGTCTCTCCTAATTTCAACACAATTTAACCAATGGAAGCTTCCAGAAGGGTGGAGTTGGGCCTAGCCCTGGTTCTCGCGGCGGCGCTGCTGGGCCGAGCGGCGGCCCAGTCAGGCTGCACTGCCTCCCTCTTGAGCCTCTCGCCATGTCTGAACTACATCACAGGAAACTCATCCAAACCCTCCTCTTCTTGCTGCTCACAGCTCTCCAGTGTAGTTCAGTCGTCGCCGCAGTGCCTTTGCTCTGTCCTCAACGGAGGCGCCTCGTTGTCCTTGGGCTTCACAATAAACCAAACACTCGCCCTTTCTCTCCCCGGGGCTTGTCAAGTCACCACCCCACCTCTTAGCCAGTGCAAAGGTAACTAATAATTTACGAGTAGTGTTAGCAATCTTTATAACAACTCTAAATTTTTATTTTGTAACATTAATTGACGTGACAATTTTTTAAACGCGCATAATGAAAAGTGACTCACGTGTCATATGGTTTGACATTAAGAATTAGGATTGGAGTTGAAATGTAGTAAACATTTACAAGTAATTGAGTGCAAACAAGATTGTTTACTTTGAAATATGCTAATCTTCATTTTAATTAATGGTGAATAATTAACAGCTGCCAACGCACCGACGGCTTCGACGGTCCCACAAGCGAGTTCACCTGCAGAATCTCCTAACGAGACCCCTGGGGATGCATTGACGCCTACCTCAGAACCAGACGTCCCTTTGGGTACAAATACAATTTGTTAATTATTTGTTGTTTATGTGTACATATCATGCTGATGGAAAATTGGACGGTTGATGATGCAGGAGGAGGGTCAAAATCAGTCCCATCAACGGAGGGAAGCTCATCTGATGGTAGCAATGTCAAAGCTCCCCTGCGTTTCGTGCTCTTCCTCCTCTTCACTCTGTCATGTTCTTCAACTCTTACCATTTTCTGAGTATTATTGTTTTAAACTCATAGATAGGTAGAGAGAGTGCCCTTCTTGTAGTCAGATTGTGATTCTTTTCTTTCTTTTCCACGCGAGTGGAAAAGTGTTTATTAGTGTCTTTGGTGCTGTGTGCTTTTTATCAGTTTGTTTGTATTACTAGAGGAGAAATAAAAGTTTATTTATTTAGTTACCTTGGTGATGGAAATATTAATTTGATTTTTAATGGAAAAAGCTGATAAAAAAAAGTCGCGCGTCCAAAATCACGTCGTTTTTCCCCCTTGAAAATTTGCTGCGTCTCAACTCTCAGTAGAAATGCACTAGTGTCGTTTATGCATAAACATGGATTTGTAACATGTTCCAATTTTGCCGCTCTTTATATTAGAAATCTTAAAATAAAAAAGAAAATGTTATTTGTATTTTTTACTTTGAAGTTTGATTTCATTTGATTCCTCCTGTGAAAGTTTTTTTAATTTATTTATTTTAAGGGATGAGAAGCTTTTTCTCGTTTATTGTTTTTTTTCCCAAAGATTATTGTCGTTTAACCTTTTCTTTACGCAATTTCTTTACTCGTTAGCTGAAAAATCCAAAGTTGTTGGTCGTTTATAAGTTTGTTGCCACGTGAATGCCCAAAAACGTCCGACACGGAGTTTCCTGCGAAAAAAAGCAAACAGTAGTTCACTCGTAAACAACATGTCGTTTTGCAAAAGTGTAAGTAATTTGGCTTTTCACGTTAATACGACATGTCGTTTGATACTTGTGAACGATACATCATGAGAATAAACGACCAAACCATTTGCAGTCAAAGGAAGCTAAAAATGGTTTGCTCGTAAGTCGAAACCCCTGACGACGGGTCCTATCTACACCAAAGTGAGTATGTTTTCCTTTTCCACTGTAGAACGGCATTTTGTTTGCAAGGTTATGAACAAACGACAAGTAAATAAATGACAAACCCTTCGCATTCAAATTAGGGGTGGTAATTCGTGTTGATGGATCGTATTCCTGTCGTGTTGATCCCTTCAGTTGATACGAATAGATCTGACATGAACACGACTCGTTTATTAATCGTGTTGAAATATAAAACCCAAACACGACATGTATATTGACGGGTTGACACGATACGACACGACTAACCCGTTTATTAAACAGGTCATAAACGTGTCGTGTCAATCTGTTGATTACCTGTCAGCCCGTTTATTAAATGGGTGATAATTGGTCGTATTAACCTATTTTTTAACATGTTAATTAAATGGGGTGATAAATGAGTCGTGTTAACCTATTTTTGAACATGTTTATAAAATGGGTGATAAAACACGTTTCTATACCTGTTTCACATGCTGTAGAGACATTACATAATCTAAGTTCAAAATTAAAATAAACACATAAAAGTCTCTCACAAATTTAAAAACAAACACACATGATTAATAATTAAACATATAAATAATTTATTGCAGCAGGGGGACTCCAAGTACATCATTAGGTGCAGCAAAAGTTGATCCCTGTGAGAAAGGCTCCTTATCTTTCAATGAAAAGTTGAAAATATCTTGTGTGAGATCCTCCACCTCTACATTAAAATCTACACGAAAATAAATATATATAGATACAAGTTAGTTCAAAGTTAAGTTAGGAAATATAAATAAATTAAATTAGTTTGAAGCCACCTTTGTCACCGTATAACCAATCTCTGGTACAAACAAGTGCTTCAACTGTCTTCGGTTTAAGTGAGCTACGAAATGGATCAAAAACTCTACCACCAACACTCAGTTTAAGTGAGCTACGAAATGGATCAAGAACTCTACCACCAACACTAAATGAAGCTTCAGAAGCAACTGTTGAAACATAAACAACTAATATATCACGAGCCATAGAAGTTAATGCTGGATATCGAAATTGGTTTAATTTCTAAAAGGAAAGAATATTAAGCTCCGTGTTCCTAGCCAATTTTGGCTCATCTAAATTAAGGTCAAGCTCTGATTTCTGTGAAATAGTAGCAAACTCAACCGAAGACATCTCATCAAATTCTTATAAAACGATAAAAAGATAATATAAAAATACACAAAGAGACATAAGCATAGAACATCCACGTTACTAATAAACATTTTAAAAAATAGAGGTATTGCCTTGAATATATGTAGTTTAACGCTTGCTTTGAGCAGCGGCAGACATTCACCCAACAAGTTCTTGCTAAAGTTTTGAATCAATTGGTCTGTACTAGCGGCAGACATTCTACAAAAATGGATTAGGCCAAAAGTTACAGAAATCAAAGAATTGATGATCATTTGAATTTCAAATGAAAATATGTTTCACAAAAAAATAAAAATAAAAACAAAACAAAAAAGAAACTATATAACGTACACTCCTCACCATAAACAGAATTTCGTTTGCATTTTATTTATCTTCTCTACTTCATACGACATATCTTTTGTCAAGTTACAGGAGAGCACGTGAATTTTGCTGCGATGATTTAAACTAGAAAACGAGTCGCCGTTTATATCATTAGTGAACACGACATTTACGACAATCAAAGATGATAATAGGCGCTGAGGAGTGGGCCCCATCTCTTTGTGAGACCCGTATGTGTCCACCTGTGTGTCTTGAGGAGTTGCAGCTCTCCAGAGCTGAGTGTATAGCAACACTCTTACGACAATACATTGTTTTGGCTTTCAACCTTACAAGATAAACGACACGGAAAATTTATTCTAAAATACGTTTTTTTACTCAAAAAAAAAAAAAAGACTTTGTTTTAGAAGATTAGAAGAGAAAATATTTAAATAAGTACATACTTGAGAAAAACTACTTTAACATGAAGAAATTTTTAAAAAAAAAATTATTTATGAAGTAGTAGTGACAGAGCCGCAAGGAAAAAAAACTAAATACGAATACATTTGAAAAAAAAAAATACTAATCGACAATTAGAATAATAATGAACATTAATAGTATTCTAGAGGAATATAGAAAAATGCTAAAAAATATTTAATAATGCATATTAAAAACGCATTTTAGAAAAGTATATTTTCAAAAATATAAGTTTCAAAAGCTAAACAAAACAAATAGGTTCAACCAAAAAGTTTGTTTCAATTACGTTTTGGTTGAAAGTTGAAAGGTATAGAGATGAATTGGGGAAACAATCCCAATTTTTCATGGACACCTATTCTGTTGATCTGTTCTTCTTTTCGTACATACGTCTTTCCTAAACGAAATATTTCTTGTGTGGACTCACTTATTTATTGTTAGGCTCCAACCTGTTTGATACTTTTACACACTTCTCTATTTTTTTTTTTTTTTTTTTTTTTTAAGCAAGACATCAAAATCAGAACCTTCACAACGCTTTCAACAATTACAAGGTAGTCCTAAATAACCAAAATTTTATTTTACCATTTTCTCAACGAAGTGGACATGGTTAAGCTGCCAAACAATGTGTTACACGACAAGTTAGACAAAACTCGTACAGAAAAAACAGGTCATATATTTGATTTAACCACTACAACTTACCAGTCTAGTAAAGTTGGCCAACCATTTAGAACTTAGTGCGTTCTCCTCCATACAAGATTACTAGTACATTATAAAGCAAATTTTCCCCTCTACGAAAGTTATAAACCTCATAATCTCACAAAATGGCACCAAATTGTGCTATGCTAGAAATCGGTCTAATCCTAGTCCTCGTGACAACATTTTCTCATGGAGCCACTGCTCAATCTGGTTGCACCAGTGTGCTGATAAGCCTATCCCCATGCCTAAACTACGTCACTGGGAGTTCCTCCACGCCAACATCTTCATGCTGCTCACAGCTGGCGAGCGTGGTTCAATCGCAGCCACGATGTCTTTGCTCGGTGCTCAATGGCGGCGCCATGTCATCACTTGGCATCACTCTTAACCAAACTCTTGCCACATCACTCCCCGGTGCTTGTAGCGTTCAGACGCCACCAATTAGCCGTTGCAATAATGGTAAGGTCAATAAAGTTGCATAATATTACTGATGGTTAAATGAGATTATCATGAAAATATGGTATGTATATATGATTTTGGTCTTGCTATCTGTTGGTGATTTTAGCTGCTAATGGACCAGCATCTTCAACTAGTGCTCCAGCAGATACTAAACTCTGACTACATCAACACTACTGGGGACAAATCATATAAAGAAAATCATACCATATATGCACTTCTCTTGTTGCTGTTCTTTATATATATATATATGAAAGTATGGCCCACGCCTACTTGCTATAAAAAAAAAAATGGTTTGGTTATATGTCTATTTGTAGTTGTATTATGATTTCTTCTTGGCGTATACACATTTCTTTTTAAAAAACAAAAAAAAAATAGAAACTTTATAGGCCTGCGGATTCGAGTTTTCAATTCGAATTGAGATGTGATTTTATATCAGAGTTTTTCATTGTAGCATAAAATGTTAGATGTGACTTTTTATGAGAGTTTTTAACTGTAGCAAAACTGAAATTGAAAACTCGAATTAGTAAAATAAACGAGGTCATAGTATCAAATAATTAAATCAGTCATAATAGCGGAAGTTACAAATAACGGGACAACCTCATCACCTCAATAAAATACGGTATCGTTCATTTCACCAATTTCAGTTTTGCTAAAGTTAAAAGCTCTAGTAAAAAGTCACGTCTAACTTTTTCTGTTATAGTTAAAAGCTCTCACATAAAGTCATATCTCAACTCGAATTGAAAACTCGAATCAACGAAGACCCCGTTCATTTTACCGATTCGAGTTTTGCTACAGTTAAAAAACTCTTAGAAATAGTCACATTTAACTTTTTTATTACAGTAAAAAACTCTCACATAAAGTTAAATCTCAATTCGAATTAAAAACTCGAATCAGTGAATTAAACGGACCCGAATTGAACGAGGCATGCATAATAAAAAAAAACACGTAATTTGTCAAAAGGTGGGTCACCCTATTACCGCTACGAACAATATGATAACAATGTTGACCACCATTAGCTAACAGAGACATCTGTACATCTCCAATTGCGTTTGGTTGGTGGATTCGTATCATGATTCAAATCATAGTTCGTGATTCACTACATTATTTTTTCTCATAAAAAATACATGTAAACTAAGAATAATTATGAATTATAATTCTGAATTTATGAACCAAACATTCACAACCATCATCTGATGGAGCTTGGAGCACAAGACAGACACAAATACAAAGAGCTTGTAGCAGAAGTTGTGTACAGAACTTGAGTACGAAAAGTCCAAGCATCCAATTAGCAGCAACTACCAAGCAACCATAAAATAAGTCAAATTGTTAAAGTACAAATCTAAATCACACTTTGGTATAAATATTTAATATCATTTTCCACGTGCTTAGTGTTTACACACGAAACGAGCAGGAAGTTAGGCAAATGAATGCCTCGATAGGCAAGGACAAAAATTTCAACTGTAATTTCGGTCAAAATTTCATAATTTTATGGTACCAAAATTACTATGTATTATGTAGTATGTACAAAGTTTCAGAAAATATAGGAAATATACCGTAAATTTTAAGAAAATTTTAGAAAATTAAGTAATTGTTATGTGTATTTTTATTTTTTATTCTATCAATATTTCTAAAGATGAATAAGTGTTTTTGTCTCATGGTTACTATAATATTGATTAAATCAAGATGAAATTTTTATTATTCTTGGCCCCATAGAATTTTCTTGTGGTGTTGAGATTTCCATTTAATGTGTATAAAGTTTTTCATGTAAAAATTTAGGCCCCGTTAATTTCACCGACTTAGGTTTAAAATTCGAGTTTTGTTATAATAAAAAGTTATCAAAAACAGTCGCATTTAACTTTTTTGTTACAGTAAAAAACTCTCACATAAAGTCACATCTAAACTTAAATTAAAAACTTAAATCAGCGAACTAAATGGATCTTTATTTATTTAAGTATTTTCTTAATATTTGTCCTCTCCTTAAATATCAGAAAACCTATTTCCGTAACTCCTGTAACCTTTTTCAATAGATTTTCAATGACGTCATTTTTTTCTCGAGAATTTCCTTCAATTTAGAGTCGACGTTTACACCGTTACCGCAATACGTTAGCGATCTTTAGTTCATAGATTAAAATCATGAGATTATAACTATTTTCAATTTACGTATATTTTTTGTGAGATAAAACACTGTAACAAACTATGAACATTATTCGAATCAGGGTACGAATTTCCTTATCAAACACACCCGAACATACTTTTCAACGGGGATCATCTGCACGGCTTAACAATTTACAAAGTTGAACAATTTCTTTCAACAAAAAACTAGCCTGCCTAATAGCTGTACATCTTACTTTTATTTATTTTCATATCTGATTAGTCAATTGCGTAATTTCTAAGTAAAATATAACATTTTCTCCGCTAGATATATCCGCTCACGTGTCTTGTCATGAATTTTGCTTATCGTCATTCAAAGAATATTCTTCGTACGCTTTATATTCCCATTCCTTTGTAGTTATTGCCTATATCCTACTAAACAAAACTCCAAAATAAGTTTTTTTTTTTAGAATTTTATTCCAAAGGATTTTGTTTTGTTTCTTTTAGAGTCAAAATGATTTTCTTATTGTAAGAGCATTTTCCAGGAGTCGTTATTAATATTTCAAGAATGAATTTCTTCAAAAATAATAATAATAACAGTGTTCCTAAAAAAAGAGTAAATACTAGAGAAATTCTCTAATAATAATAATAAAAAACGAAAATGGCTTGGAATGAGGATTTGATTTTAGCCTCAAAGAAACCGGAAAAAGATTGTCGAACTTTGTAGTAAACCCAATGCTAACGACAGAATTAAATGTGTCACACTGGAATTTGCAGTTAGATAGGATTCGTTAAGTGCTGTAATTAATGCACTAATTGTCCAATTTGAGGAAGTGACAAGGAAATTTAAGAACGTTAGCCAAGTTATAATAGCCACTTTGCATCAATAAGTACATTTGACAAGAAACAATTTAAGCACGTTTTGCAAAAATACTCACGTATATCCATTTTTTTTCACCAAAATAGTAAAATATAAAATCCAATTTGGCAAATTTGCCGTAAGAAAAAATTTCAATTTATGCGGAATTAACAGGAATGGATGGTAAAATCAGCTTCCCTTAAAGGTGGTCAAAATTTATAAATCAAGTTCTGGAGATAATATAAACCAACTTCTAAACTAATTTGTATATCTTAAACACTAATTGATGCCACAAATGATATGACTTTGTAATTAGTACTATAAAAATTTCTATAAATATTTTTGACATTTATTTATGACCCTCTTGGTACTATTCTTCTAGAAGATTCAATTAATCATCCTTCAAAGCCGATATTCGATAATAAGGATTGTAAATAATTAAAACCGATACGCCAACTAAGCATGAAATGGAAGCCAGATTTTTTTTTTTCCTTTCTTTGTTCTGTTATTTATTTATTTATTTTCCTTCATACAAGTTTCAACCACGTGTTATGCGCATGAGATTCTGACGTCGATGAGTATAAGTTACAACCAATAAAAACGCCCAAGCTAGCAAGCCACTGTCTTTCCTAGAAAAGAAAAAGATAGGAATAAGGGGAAATTGGATGATTTGGATTGGGTGTCTTGTTCTGTTCTGTTCTTTTTATTTTTATTTTTATTTTTTTTGAGAAATTTAAGTAATATGTCATCAAAATCCAATAGCTTTAGGTTTATATTATCTTTGTCGAGTAAAAAATATTATGATAAAATATTAAAAATATTATACCAGAATACTTCTTAAAGATATGATCATTTTTATTAAAAAGAAAAAATAATCTAGTGGGATATTCAAAATCTAGTAGGGTATTCAAAATATTTTTTTTTAGTGAATTGAACGATATAAATGTTAAATTTATATTAACGGATGACATAAATGGAAAATTGACATTTTTGAGTGGAATTTCTGTATTTTTCTCTCTCTGTCATTTTTTTTCTTTTTTCCTGTTCTTATTTTAGTGTAAACGCCTAAACGGGGTTAAAAAAGCCTGAAGGCTTAATTAAGTAAAGTAAAACACGCAAAAAAGGGCCCAAATTTGCCCCAAATCTCTATCGCAAAAGGGTCGAATGTTAGAGCTTTACACCGAAACAACCCACACAAACACACACATAATAGGACATTGATTTTGCATTTGTTGTACAACTCTCGGCGTTTTCCTTTCTCCTTCAATAGGCCTTAGCTGTGAAGTCATCCTCTCTCTTCCTTTCTCTCTCTGGCTTTAGCCAATCCAAAATCCATCTCTCTCTCTCTCTCTCTCTCTCTCTCCATCTCTCTCCATCTCTATCTCTCTCTCTCTCCATCTCTCTCTCTATACAATTACCCGCAACAGACCCCGAATCTTGTGTTCTTAACCGCCTCGTTTCTCTCAGGTAACATCTGTCTCTCTCTAGGTTCTAGCCTAACTATTTCGATTAAGGAGTTATTTTCTTGTTCTTTCACCTGTGATTAATTGACCGTGGTTGTCAATACAAATTGCTTGAAATTTTGGTTTATGTTCGAAATCGTTAAAACCCAGGTTCCGGGTGTTGAATTGGAGGCCGATTCTGTGTTAAATTTGCATGATTTTAATGCTTTCTTGTGGGTTTTATTTTCTCTCTTATATATCTCTGTCTGCGAGTAAATTCATGAGTAAAATTTTGTTTGGATTATTGGGTTCTTGGTCGGTATTTCTTTATAACAATTTCATGGTTAATGTGTCACATAAGTAGAAATGCATGTGGGTGGGAACCAAATTTGAAAGCTTGAGAAGTGGATCATGCGTCGAATGGCTTATTTACTTCTCGTCATGAATTTTAGCTTATAATTTCTGAATTGTTAAAATAAGTTGCCATAGATCTTTCAAAAGGGTTGTCGATTTTATTACTAAGATCCATGTTCACTTGGGATGTATTCTTTTGTCTCAAGCCAAAACTTTGAGTTCTTAGTCACCTATGCGACTGAAATTTTTTGTTAGACTTTAGGTGGACTGAGAATATAGTTTTTAGTGGAATCAACATGGGCAGTAGAATACTAGATTGTTCTTTGTTGATCTTTATGAGTAGGCAGAGGCTATGCTATGGTATCCTAGTAAAGTTTCTTTTTTTCTATTACATGCTATGGTATACAAGGATTTAAAAGCTGGGTATATGGTATTTTATAAAACGTATGATGCCAATAAGCTTATCGCATGTAGTGGTGTAGAATTTCCTTGTGTTAAGCATATCTAATATCTTTTTTAAGCATCAATCATTCAGGTCTTCTTGGATATATACAAGAGTGGTTGCATCTTATTCTGGGTTATGTGTGTAATTCATTCCAGATTTTTCTTTTCTTGAGTACTGATCCATTGCTGCTTTATTTAATGTATGTGCCAATGCTGCCTCCAGTGAAGCAACAACTAACCAGGGAAGAATCATCTGGATTTGGGAACAGATGTGTCTGTGATTATGTCTGAATTGATCGAAGGTCTCCCTGATGCGGTTGCCCTCAGGTGCCTTGCACGGGTTCCCTTCTATTTGCATCCCAAGTTGGAGCTTGTTTCTCATTCATGGAAAGCTGCCATTCGTAGTCGTGAACTGTTCAAAGCTCGACAGGAACTTGGTGCCACTGAAGATCTGTTGTGTGTTTGTGCTTTTGACCCAGAAAATCTATGGCAGATTCATGACCCTCTAAGAGACCTTTGGATTACACTCCCTGTTCTCCCCTCAAAAATCAGGCACCTTTCTCACTTTGGCGCTGTCTCGACTGCTGGAAAGCTGTTTGTACTTGGTGGTGGCAGCGATGCTGTTGATCCACAGACCGGTGACCAAGATGGAAGCTTTGCAACCAACGAGGTGTGGTCGTATGACCCCATAATTCGACAATGGTCTCCTCGAGCATCAATGCTTGTGCCGCGTGCAATGTTTGCCTGCTGTGTTTTGGACGGGAAGATTGTTGTTGCAGGCGGTTTCACTAGCTGCCGGAAATCAATTTCTCAGGCAGAAATGTATGACCCTGACAAGGATGTGTGGGTGCCGATACATGATCTCCATCGCACTCATAATTCAGCATGCTCGGGAGTGGTGATCAGAGGAAAGCTACATGTTTTGCACAGGGGCTTATCGACAGTGCAAGTCTTGGACGGTAAGGAGCTAGGGTGGACAGTTGAGGATTATTGTTGGCTCCAAGGTCCAATGGCAGTTGTTCAGGATGCGCTCTATGTTATGAGTCACGGATCAATCTTCAAGCAGGATGGAAAAGTGAGCAAGGTAGTGGTTTCTGCGTCCGAGTTTCGTCAGAGAATCGGATTTGCTATGTCTGGGCTGCGGGACGAGATTTATGTGATTGGAGGAGTCATTGGCCCTGACCAGTGGAACTGGGAAATCAAGCCGATGTCTGATGTTGATGTCCTGATGCTTGGTGGTGAAAGACCGGCGTGGCGACAGGCAGCTCCAATGACCCGGTGTCGTGGAACTATTCTTGGTTGTACACAGTTGAGAATTTAGGGCTTTCATTTGTTCTTTTTGGCTGCTGTCTCCTTGTGCAAATTTGCCATTGCTGAGGAATTGGCCATCTGACGGCTACCTTGTTTATTTTGTAAGCCAAAATGTATGGCCTTGTTTCTTGTTAGTTTTCTCAGGGTTTCCTTGGAACTCTTTTCTTTAGCAAAGGTAATACTGAAGTTCCAGCACCATTTAAAAGGGGCAACAACTTAAAAGTTCATTAATTTATGCGTTATATCATGGTCGAAGCATATCTTTTAATTTTTTCTTTGGATAGTTTGGCAAAGAATGCCGTGTGTCCTTTTTTTCCCTCCCCCTTCTTACTAAGAGTGCGTTTCCTCCGTTTATTTCTGATCACGTTACCATGCCCATCAACAGTTCGTGCTTACGATAGTATTCTGGCACTCTATTGGTATCACGTTTTTGAAGGAATTACCCTTTTTTGGGGACTTTTCCTAGCTCAGGTGTTTGGGCGTGTAAAATATGTAATTCAGAATTCGAATTCTGGTGTTTTTCTTAGTATAATGGGAGCCATAAACCTTACATTGTATAATGATAAAAAAAAAGTTGTAAAGAACTGTCCTATTCAATCACGATTATTAAATTTCCTGTGGCTATATCGTTGAAATGATAGATGTAACATGAGCTGCTTATTATATCTTATTTTATCTTATAAAGATTTTCAATTTTTATCTCAATTTCGTGATTAACTTGGAAAAAAGAGGAGAAATTTTCAAAAATGTATGAAAAATAACACTATTTTATTTTGGCCATCAATTCTAATAGAGTAAGTGTATACTCTCCCAAAATATTTTTTAATGGCATAAATAAAATAAATAATAGGAATGACTATTTTTGTAATATTCTAAAGGAAAATAGTAGAAAATAGGCCAATATGAAAAGTTTAAGAACGTATATAGGCTAATTTTTAATTATAGAAATTAATAGGTCATAACTTGTCAAGTTATGATTCATAACCAGATAAGTTATGGACAAACTTGTCAAGTTATGGTTCATAACCAGACAAGTTATAGACAAAAACTGTAAATTATGGTGCATAACCAGACAAATTACAGACAAAAACAGTAATTTAACCTATTTATTAACTTATATAAACTATTAACTTATTAATTTTAATTCATCTCAAGTCTTCACTTATTTCCTTCTTTCTCCCCGTTCTAAAGCGGTAAATTGGAGCATAGCAATTTGGGCTGGGCTTATGAAAGCCGAAAACCCAAACTCAAAAGTCAAAACTGAACTCCCATTCGTCGTCTTCCTGCTTTTTACTTTGGTTTAACTAATCGAAATACCCTGAAACTCCCAGTTCATAGAGCCCATCAAATTCGTAAAACCCTAAAATTGCCCAACTGTTCGCCGCGACTCTGAATCATCACACCAAGAATGGAAGACACTCCAATGGAATTCGGAGAATCAAACAAAGACACAGAAATCGCTCCGGCTCTGATAGCCGTTCACCCTACTCAGGAATCCGTCGCCGCCGCCGTCGGACCGGACCTTCGCATCTTTGACCTCCGGTGAGCTTTCTTCCTTGCATTCGAACAATGGCGACTAAAAATAATCACTTTTTGCAAAATCAAAATTCGAGCTTTAAGTTTTGTGCGATCAATTAGAAAGATGTTTAGGAAAAGCGCACTCTTTGTTGATATAAGTCGATTCAATTTGGTGAAACCGTGAAAAAGTGATGGAGTTTGGACAAGGTTTTGACTTTTGTTTGTTATGAATTCGTTAACAGTCAGAATTCCGCTGTTTCTTTGAAGGATGATTCTTCAGTTGGATCTCTACACAAGGATTCCATCAGAGTCGTCCGTTATGGAGCAAACGGGAAGCTCCTTGTGTCTGCCGGTGATGATAAACTAGTCAAAGTTTGGTCAACGGAGTCTTGGCACTGCATCACTACCGTGTAAGCTTTTTTTTTTTTTTATCAAAGTTATTCCTTAACATGTGAAACAGCATTGGCTTTTTAGAATTTGAATTGGTTTCCGCATAAACTGCAAAAGTAAATGAATTGTGGTTATATGTTTTTTTTTTTTTTTTTTTTTTCATCAATGGCGATTTGTTTGCGCTAGCTTTGCTGAAAGTGTCTTTCAAATGATAAACTTGTTGGACAGGTGCTCAGAGAAAAGAGTCAGTGCCGTTGCCATAAGTAATGATGGTTTATATGTTTGTTTTGCCGACAAATTCGGAGTTGTTTGGATTGTGGATCTGGATAGACCAGACGGACAAGTTCATGTCGGTAAGAAGGCTGTGCCATTGCTTTCTCACTACTGTAGTATCATCACCAGCCTGGTGAGTCCTTAGTTTGTTTTATTAACTTTCGGGTTCCTTGTTCTGTGTTTTTGGTATTTTTCACGTTGTTTCCTTGGTTCTCTTGCATCGGATAGATATTAGTGAACAAATCTTATTTAGTAATGCACTTTTGGCAGGAGTTCTCGCCAGATGGCAAGTTTATTCTTAGTGCTGATAGGGATTTCAAAATTCGGGTAATACATAATCCCAATGTTTCTTTTATAGTAAGAAGAAAGTTTATTTTTCTGCTTCCTTGACATTACATTATTCTTTGACCAGGCTACTGTCTTTCCAAAGAACCCTTTAGATGGAGCTCATGAGATACAAAGCTTTTGCCTTGGTCACACAGAGTGCGTCAGCTTTTCTTTCTTCTAAAACCTCTCCCCTTTTGGATTAGTGTTTGTGCGTGTATGTATATTGCAGAGTACCGCCTTGAAATATTGTTCCAGTTCTTGGATTGTTTGTTACTCATGTTCTATCTTCATTCTATGGTGTCATCTTTCTCAAAATCATGTGTAAAAGCTCTATATTCGCTCTACATTGATTTAGCTCTTTTTTTTGGGAATTTTTTGGCAGGTTTGTATCCTGCCTTGCGTTTCTTTGGACTGAGGAGTACCCCCAGGGGTTTGTTGTCTCTGGAAGTGGTGATTCAACGGTGAGTATTGTGATCAAGGTTTTAAAAGGCGGAATCTGGTCTTGAGGCGTTTTGCCTTTGTGAGGCAAGGCGTAAGCCTCAAAGAATGCTATTAAAACAATTTTAAAAAATAATAATAGTAATTAAAACTAAATCCATGCTCAATAGTCATTAAAAACAAGAAAATTAATCAATGAATCCGTAAAAAGACAAGTCTAGTTCACTACTAGAGGCATAAGAAAAAGCTAAATAGTCATCAAATCCTAATATGATAAGGTCTATAATTCACCTCTAAAAACCTAGGAAACTAAATTAGCACTGAACTAGGAAATCAAATCAACACTTTTTTTTTTCTCCTTTGATGAAACATGGAGATATGAGATTTAGGTCCTTTTTTTTATACGGGCCTAAGTAATTCAGGCTTTCTTTAAACTTTAGGCCCAACAACAATTAGGTTTAAAAAACACTCACAAGCAAGAGGCGCATGCCCTCAAACGCCACTTGAGGTGTCACTTGAGGCATGCGCCTCATTCCCCACTCTCAAAGCGTAAGCTTTGAGGCGGTGAGTGCCTCACCGCGAGGCGCACCTGAGGCGTGCTTTTTAAAACCTTGATCATGATAAGTCATATTCTTTAATTTGCATTTTGATTCATTCTCTGGATTGTAGAGTAAAAGCTCATCCAAAATTCTGTTGCAGGTTCGCTTGTGGGATATTCTGTCAGGATCTCTTCTTGATGCTTGTGAAGTTGGAGAAAAGGTGTTCTATATGCTTCTTGTTCTTCCCTGATCTCCTTGTTGTTCCTTAGATGCTGATTTAACATTTAAGTACGAAATTGTAGTTGTGTCCTAAAGCAATTAATATTTGATTTCATCGAACACCTAAAAATTGGGAGCATTGTAAGATTCTAACTTTACACAGGAGCTGATTCTTTTTTCACAAATTAGATGGGTGCGTTGCAGAATAGCCCAACAGATGCGGGTGATGTTGGTAAAAAATGTTGGGCAAATATTTTCCTTTTTTTCACTAACTAAAAATTTTATAAAAGAAAAAGGAAAAGAGAAGTAAGAAAATCTAGTTGATTGAGATTGAAACTTGGGGTGCCGTTTCCTTAGCTTTTATTTTGTTATAGTTGTTTTCTTGATTTCATTCACTTTCTTCTTGAAGGCAGGACTCCTTGGGTCAAATGGAAGAGAAGCAGAGTGTTATTCTGCTGTCACTGACCTGTGCTCTAACCCAGACGGTTCACTTGTTGCAGTGGCACTTCAAAGGCAAGTTCCTGAGAATTTCTCACTGCATCCTTTTCTTCCTTCATCGAGTCTCCTGTTGAACTTTTTTTTTTTTTTTTTCCTTTTTTTGTCCTAATACGAATTAAGGTTTTTTATTGCAGTTTTCAAGGAATAATATTATTGAAGTGCAATCTTTCTACTCAAACTCTCTCTCTAGCCAAGGTAAGAACCTAAATCATTTGAGTTAACATGAATAGCATAACCTCGTCAAATCAATCCAGTCACATGTGTCTAGATCTTGCATGGTACTTTTATGAATTTGTGCCACTTCTGGTGTTGTTAAGCCTTATTGACATTCCATTCACAAAGCAGCATAGGGTGTCTATTTTGTTCCCCTAGGCTTAGATAGCTATAAGGGGAAATTCGGAAGAATTCTCCTCTAATTAGGGAGCATAAAGTTTAATGTCCTTTTCTTAAACCCCAAGGTTTTTGCCTTTACTTTCTCTCTTTATATACTAACTTAAGACTTGCAAATTCTAAGAGAAGGGCCACGTTTCCTAATTTTCTCTTAGGTTTAAAACCTAATGATTCATTTATCTCAAAATGATTTCCCTAATTATTTGTGGTATTTAATTTCGAACTCATTTCCAACTCCAGCAACCTTTTAGTTAAACTGGTTCGGGGAGGCTAGCAAACGTGTAATGACCCGCACCTTTACTTAGTATGATATTGTCCGTTTTGGGCCTGAGCTCACACGGTTTTGCTTTTGGGCTTCACCCCAAAAGACCTCATTCATTGGGAGGTGGTGTCCTTTCTTATAAACCATCACTTATAGCATTTCTCAAGCAATGTGAGATTGTACAACTTATTCTGTTGTGACATTTTTGCCTCAAAGGATTGACGTCTGTCACAAAACTCATGTTAAGTTGGGTATCATACACCTTACCCTGAATTATAACTAGCACTCATGTTAAGTTTGGTATCATACAAACAAATAATGCATACATTGATATAATTTTTCTTACTTAGTTCACACATCCTAATTCCTAACAGGTGGTTTCCATCGGAGGAGGGACCTTCATTCCTACAAGCTTGCAAATGTGCTCATCCACTGGGTTATTGTGGATGGTTACTGGTGTCTCAAATCTGCGTGGTTCTGAGTGCCCGTCTTTGGCCCGTGTGAGGGTTATCTCTGGTGTCAACAAAAGCAATTCCGACTCTGATACGCGTGAACATCAGGAATTGGAAGATAACGAGATTCCAGGGGGAACAAGTCTGCTTAAGAATTTGCAGGGAAGTTTATCGTATGGTGAAGAAGTTTTCTTGGCTGCTGCTGAAGCTTTGAAAACAGCAATGAGCAATCTGCTGGTAAAGAAGCAATACTCTACTGAGAAACGAGATTTTAGGAAGAGAACTAGAAATGATAAGAAAATCAAACAGCGAAAGTGATTAGATTTAGCATGTTTCAACCTCCACGACAGTGACAGCTCTTTCTTCTGTTGCTGCTGTATGAGGACTCAGTTTCACTTAAATTACTTTGTAGCTCTAGTTTTTACTAATCCTATATTTTTTTTCCTAAATTAGGTAACATTTTATAATTAATTTAAGCAATTGTAATTTTCAACCATTTTGTGCCATCATAATTTGTTGAATGAGCAAAAAAGGGACCATGTTTGCGATACCTTGGGCTTGGAATCAATGGACCTTCTCACCAGTTGAGCAAATTCATTTCTGTGTGATTTCGATCTTGCTAGTTGCTACTGTCTGTTACAGTAATTGCAGAAATGTACATATTTTTTAAACAATTGAAATAAATAACATATTTACTGATAAACATTTATTTATCTGGCATAAATAATATTTACTAGTAAATGTTTGGCATAAATATTATTATTTATTAGTAACTAGTAAATGTTTAGCATACATATTATATTTATCAGTAAATGCTATTTACACCAATAAATAAATATTTGCTAGTAAATATGTTTTTTTGTTTATTTCGTTTTATCATTTTACCATTAAGATTCAAAGGGAAACGGGCATGGAAGGTCTACTATAAAAGAATCAGAACGCTCTTTAGTCTCTAGCTGAGGTTTAGGTTTCAGGTAGATATAAATTGGGTTAACGATTACTTGTATCGCACGCTTTTTTTTTTTTTTTTTTTGTGATAAGGTACAAAACTATTACTTGTAGCTTGTACATTACACCATAGAAAAATACAATTTTTTTTAAATTGAAAAAGTTATTCATAATTATTAGAAAGTTGTCTTGTTATTATTATGTTTATCTTATCATAAACGAGCCGGCAAACCTAATCCGGAATTGTTTTGTCATGTCTCAAATAAGTAAAATCTTTCTCATCAAGAAGGGAAAAAAAATATCCCTAGAAAAATATATCTAGCACCGAGCTCTTTTTCCTCATTGATTGATGTTTCTGTTTATGATTGCTCTGTGGGACATATTTTAGGTGTGCCTGTCACCATCAACTTAATACGTGGTTATAATCATGTAAAGGTTTTGATTACTAGGGTTGTTCAAATCCTCAAGCAATCTATTACCCATCACAAGAATAATTACTTAATTTTTTTTTCTTATTTCAAAGTCAGAAAGTGGTGTATCTCATAAGAGTACCTTAGAACATTCCACCACTTGACCTCCATTTTTCTACTTTGCAATGCACATAACGAAATTTCTAATAGATTAAGATAGGATCATCAAAGGCTTTTTTTTTTTTTTTTTTATGTAAATATTTTTTGACTATGAACTTCCTTATTGGGGTAAACATCAATTTCAGGTGAAGTGGTGCCAACACATATTTATCGCCATGTCGAGATAGTTGGATGCCTAAGCATCCTCCTCGGTCAACAAACCAATTATGCCACAACAATTGCCGTAACCAAAATTATTGCCAAACAATATCGTCAATTATCATACAATGCCACTTGCCAATAAAAAGAAAGGGACAGCCACTCGATCGATTGCTACAGTGTCATGGGGGTCATTTTACATTTAAGCCTACTGAAAACGACATCCAAAATGGTCCCCATTTTTCCCCTACAAAAATTATGCCAAATGGCATCCTAAGACACTTACATGTATCTAAAAAAAATTACTGGTTGGTTTGTAAATCAGAAAAGATGAGATTTGGATTTGTTTAGTAAAGAATTTGGGAGAGAAACTCTTATTTTCCGTTTAATCGCTAAAGTAACTAAAGGATTATAGATGGTGACCTTCTATTGGCCTTTAGTTACTTAGTTGCTACTATAGGGTAAGATTAAGATTTGGTTGGACAAGAAATCTGTATTAGGAAATAAGGAAAACAAAGATAACAAAACGATTTACTTTTTTAAGGTCGATACTTATCCCATGCATCAAGCATAAACATCATACATATGTACTTGACCGGGATATAATTGAACCGAATAGACAATACCATATGTTATGTTAAATTAGAAGGGATTTTAGAAACTTGTGAAATAATGTGAAGAAATGCCTTGTTTTACCTTTGTGAGCTGTTTTTAAAAGCGATTTGCATTGAGTGGGAAGAGATGATTGTGTCTGCAACTTCGTAAAAAGAATTAGGAGCTAAATTTGATGCTTTTCAAAAGATTAAAAAACAAGCACTTTGAAAGTTGTGAAAGCAGTATGGCATTAGGGTGGGGATTTTTTTTTTTTTAAAAGAAAAAAAAAAGGCTCCATTAGCATTTTTGCATATTCCCCCAAGCATATGAAATGAAGATAATGCATTTCATTCCATCGTGTCTTTCATTATATGCTAGGCCAGGAACCACATGTAATGCTGTAACCAATGCTTACTTTATCTCCTTTTTCATTTGGGATAACGTAATGTCTCTCCTCCTTTCTTTCTTGCTTGCTTTATTTATTTATTTATTTATTTTAGGTGCCTGCTTGATTTTCAGCAAAAAAAAAAAAAAGGTAAGTAAATTACAAATTTGGTTGTCCTACGTAATGTTAGAGTGCGATAATGGTGATTTTGGTCAAATAGAAAATGACATTTCAGCACCCCCAAAAAAAAAAAAAAATATA